AAACCATCCAGGTGCCGCTATTTGGAACAGGAGTAACATTCAAAATGCTGCTGTTGACATACATTTATAAATGCAGCAGTCGACAATTTTTCAACATTCCTCTTCTGTCCACTTTTAATAAATTACCGGCAGTAAACGCCAGCCAAAGAAATAATTTTTAGTCATTTTATTTCACTGGGATTAGTCATATGTCAGAGTTCATTACATAACTTAGAATCGCCTTGTAGCAAAAGTTTGCAAGGTTTGGTATGACCCATCGAAACTATTTTCACTGGTGATTGCCTCGTTCACCTTGTTTCACCGAATATCCACATCTCTTATTGACTCACTAGAGTAAACTGCAGTAATTATTCATGGGTGTAGGTTCATATGCCCAGCCCATACACCACTAAGCTACGAAGTGCTGCTAGGCACCGACGATTTCCTACCAGATGTTTGTAAAACAAAATTGCCACATTTAGGTAACAAACTAACCACTAACTCCACAATATCACCTCCCAACTTTTCCTTCCTACAATTTACACTAAAGAGATCAGTTCTACTTGACGTAGTTTCTGTCGGCTTGAGACAAGGCAGTTATCTGCAACTTAATAATTCCTATAATTCTTAATTTGTTACAGCTAGCTTAGTTTCTTTTTTTAGCTTGTTTATAAAACTAGTGGAGTTTGTTCAGAATATCCACTTAGATTGCCATTGCCTTTCGCCCTTCATCCGAAAGTTGGCGAGCATTTCCAATAAATGCCTGTGGTTTTAGAACAAGAGATAAACTTGTCCAAAAATCTAGAAAAGCGACTGTTTTAAATGTTGCGGTTCGTTGACTTCGAAAAGAAAGTTATTCTGATCGAGTATGCACAGCAGAGCATTCATAAATTGGCTGCTTTGCTCCAACGAAAATCCCAAAATCACGACCCAAATAATAAGAAATAGTGACTATTTCTGAGTCTTTTCACAGCATCACTTTATTAAATTTACTGACGCTCAGAGACCGTCATGCACATGTGTCGAAGGAAAGCTACCAGCGTTTAAACTTTGCTATTTTGTCGCACACTCCAGCACTGTGTACTAGACAGCACAGTGGCACTGCATAAATCTCAAGGAAATATCCTCGCCGTTCCCAAACATTATTTGGCCCGGCAAATTGTCAGACGTTAGGTCAAAGGGAGCGCGCACTAACCGTGAAGTCTGTTGGACACGGAACACTAAGAGTATGAAAGAGACTAGGAACTTTGAGAACTCACTGGATCATGTCACCTTATTTGTGCGACCGGAGTCCGACAACCGTCTGTTAGTGAAACCATTAGGGATTGGAATGGTGTGACCATCTTGAATAAAGCAAGAAGCCTCGACAGCTGAGCTGATTACTTTGGACATCGATTCTTTTGGCTACCTGCGGCCACCTATTCGAATCTTGCAAATGAAGCAAAAACCTGGACTTTGAGCCCGGTACACCTTCGGAGGTTTGTGACTGCAGCTTCTCTTTCAAGCACCACTGAGATTTGGTCCCGATGAGTTTCCTCGTCCTTCAAAGATTGACACGAATGCCGTTAGTCATCGCTTATTTGATCTGTTTTCCCAAATCTGGAAAGAGAAGACTGTTCGGGATAAATTGACAATAATCAAAACAGGGGCTCACGGATAGAGGGGTAATCACACGGAGGTTAGTTTGACCCCAGTCGTAACGAGAATGTTGGTTTATTTCGTGTTTCGTGCTCTTGAAACACTGACTCGAGAGCAGCAATGGGGATTTCGGCCAAGTGGGAGTGGCGCTTACCAAATCCTCATACTCCATCATGTGTTAGAACAACGCTTTATGCATAAACGACCCATAATTTTGGTATTCTTCAATTTCCAGGGCGCATCCGAGTCACTTGACCTTTCAGTTCTCCTTAAAGCAATTGTCCTTCAAGAAATGCCCCAAAAATTTGTGAACATAATAAGCTCATTGCATTCTCAGACTGCCGGAAGAACGAAAGCATACGAAGAGCCCTCTAAAGGCTTCCATTTGCAGGGTGATGTCCGTCACTGGTGTCCACTCTTTTCATTCCTATTCAATTTCCTGATCACTGGAATATTGAAACCGACGCTAGAAGTCTTCAGAAACCTGGTGTTCAAATAGCTGTTGAGGAACTGCTTGTCGGTCTAGAATATGCAGAAGACATTCTTCTAATCTTCGACGAAGACAAGATGCAGATGAACCGATCAAAATCATCCTTCGCTTACAGTGTTGAATCATTCTCCTGGAGATGTATTCACTGAACATGTGACTTTGGATCCATCAGAATTGGTAGGGTATTTTACGTATTTTGGAAGTTACATTAGTTTCGACTGTAGTGTGACAGATGTGGTCACAAGGCTGGTGTGGCACGCGTTAAATTAAGAAGTCGATGGAGGCAAAAGTTTATATCCCTGAATCTCGAGAGACGTGTGTATCAGGCAACATTATGGAATGATTGGCAGCATGGCTCTGAGGTTTGGCCTGTTCCAGCAACGGGAATGAGACGTCTTCAGGCCTTTGATCGCCGTTTTTTTCTGAACCGTATCTCGTGTAGGTTGGTGCCGGCGAATTCGTAACGAGATACTTAGAAAACAAGCATTTATTTGTGTATTGGAGAATTTCAGTGAATGTGTCCAGATACAGATGCTACGTTGGTTGGAGTATGTGCTGCGCATACCGAACCATCATTTGCCAAATGCAGTGTTGTTTTCTGTGTTCAGTTCAAAGTGAAGGAAGCAGAGATATCACCAAAGTTTAACCTGACAGAGGGGCATGAAGCATGATAAGAATAATTTTTATACCGTTGGTGCGACCCGCCTCCTGAAATGTGAACCGCGTAGTCCTCCCGCGCCCGGTCGGACAGTGATAGACGGCTTCTGGTCGATGTTAGTGAAGTTCCTAATGTCAGTTTCTATCTAAGTTGTCCGAATGAACTTCTGAATCAGAATGACTGAGGTAGGGAAACATTGAGTCACCTTCACACTCACTTTTGTTCTTTTCTCCAAAATAAGGTTTTCAAATAAATTATTGTAGCAAAGCATTAACACAATCTATGCTGTCAACGATTTTTGCATATCACAAATCAGATATTGAGGTTGGTGTTCAGTTGGTTTTCAAGGGAGATGCCGGCCACTTTTTCCTTGTGCCATTACAAGTCAGGTGGGCTAGCAGCCAGAAATTTAAGAGAAGCTGTGAGCTAGCTTATTCTTGGATGTGCGTCGAAAAGCTGGGAGTCATTTTAGCTGGCGTTTCTGATGAATGTCCGCAAATAAATTATTTATCATGACACGCAATAAATTCCGTAGGTACCGCTTCCTGCTGCTCTGTTGTCAGTCGTTTTGTAAATATCGAAGGAAATCCTGTCTATAAGGAATTTTTTAGTTCCACAACGGCAGGAGTTTGGTGTAACCACGCACTGAATTTACAATTTTGATGCAAACATGCCATTTTTAGCGTGCCTGACTCAGAGGTTTCTGAAACTGCGGAGGACGAAAATGCTGTTTACCAGCGCAACTGTGTGGCAGCTGAAACCATCAGTTCTTTAGTCATGCAGTAGACTACCACCTTGTACAATAATTGACATATAGGCGCTATGATGTATATGGTCGTCTGAGACGTAATCTTCATGAAGTCAGTAAAAATGAAGCATAGAATATGTCCTCTTGATCCATTCCGGAGAGACTATTCCATCTAAGATGATCCTGGTGTCTAGCCACATTACTGTATTTTGCTGTTCCTAACAGCAAAAGTTTGAAGACATCAGTTTTTGCACATTGAGGATTCTTAGTTAAATTTGAGCACCTAAACGATTTCAAAGCATGCCAGGAGGTATGACGAGTGACAATTTTTTCCTGACATTGAAGAAAGTAGTTTATTTCTTTAGCATTTTAGAATCTCCAAAATTCATTTTCATGTCACCACAGCCTCCTTGGTGTGAAATTACCAGAATAATTTTGCTGTGACAGGAGGACGACTACTCAAACAAGACTGATGTGAACGTCATTTCTACACACCCCTCAAACGCCTTCAACAGAACCGAAAAATGTTCAGCGTTTTTCTAGCTTCCGTGGCGCTACCTGACTGAAAAATCCTGACAGACTGGTCGATCGATTGACACAATCAAAGTAGTTACTGGGTCGTCGTTCGAGTAATCAGGCAAACTAATCACATTACTCAAGTGCGAGCATTTTCACCTGTTCAGACATAAAAATTTAGATGAGCCCAGCGTGCGCAGGACTGGTTGTTACAAGCGCGGCTAGCATTTAAGATGCCTGGAGTTCAAACCCTGACACCGCCATTGATGTGAACTGTTGATGAACCCTAATAAGAGCAGAACTCGAGTTTTCCCCGATCTGGGTGTACGCTCACCAGAACATTTTGCGCCAGTGAGAGTGATATGCACGTTAAGTTCACAAATCACGCAACAACCAACAACACATCTCTTTACTATTAACAAGCTGTTGACAATAATGACGGAAAGCATTTATTGTTAATGTGCCCAGGGGTTTAATCTGTATGTCCAGTAAAAATAAGCGTGTGAAAACACATGTAAATTTAAAGAGTCAATAAAAAATTTATTCTTTAGTCAAAGCTGGTATATGATGACAATCCTGTAAGTACTGCGTGAATTTTCAATTACGTTCTTACATGTCAGTACTGCGCAAATGATAAGCTTATGAATACCATCTAATTGCCCGTCGAACACCAATCAATTCGGCCTCGAACGACTGGTCAGCTGAAAGAACAGACCTCAGTCAGACGGTATTTGAAATAACTAATTCTCATGCATGCAGCTCCGTCATCTTGGTTGGTGCTGTATGCCTTACTGACGTCGGTCTGATATGCAGAAAATGTGAAAAATTATGAGAATATCGTTAATTGTGGTTTTCTGCGCTCTAGTCCAAGGTTTCTAACAGTACACATAATTTTTACTTGAAGAAAGACATTTTTCTCACAGGACAATGATTTTTGACTTACAGATTGCCAGAATTTCTTCAGAGTTATCATGAATTGGATTGTTTTGATTTGGCTCTTGGCTGTCACACATGTCTCCGTAAATCATGTGTACTGTGCTTCTCGTGATCGAGGTGAGTCGTTTCAGTAAACACAACATGGCGTGCGAATTTCAATAAAAACTGACTACCTAATCATCCATCTTAACTTGACTTGCGTGCTTATGACTCATACTGGTTCATGTTGACGTATCACGAGTGGAACAGCAGTGTTGGATACATTATTAGGTCTCTTATAGATCCCATTTTAATAGAAAACGTTGTTTCAGTGGCTTTGGCGAGAAAGTACTATGCGTGTGTACTACACAGCAACCGCTATGACAAGCACTTCACCGCGGTGCTTATCGGGTGAAAGCTTGCTGATATGTGCTTCTGTATTATCAGACCTAACCCCCTCTATGTTATTTCACCTAAAAAACCTTTGTCTACATTAGGAGTTCTATCGTTTCGGAACCACACATGGTGCGGAATTATGCCCTTCTTGATAATTAGCAAAACCAATGATTTTTAATAACCGATTCCTCTAGCTAGAGGCCTACCCAAACCACCCAGTTCTCTGTGATTCCTCAGAATATTCATAGGCACGGTTGCTCCTTGCTAGCTGTCATGACATCCAGTCTGGCTTTCACCTTTCGGTTAGTAGGCAACGTTGAGATATGATATTCCGGTTTGGTCAAAGAATTGGTAAACCAGAATGAGAAATTTGTCTTCTTTCTCACATTATAATATAAGTGGAGCGGATTTGCTTCCCTCACTTTGTGACTCAGCTACTCACAGACGAATGGAATGATTTTTACCTAAGATTTTGACCATGAATGAACGAGTATATGGTTCTACGCTCTCTCACCTTTTGGGTGTGTGATTCAACTACATAAGATGACATTAATGGTGCAGAACCATGCATGCGCATAAGCTTTTTTGTATTCTAAGGTGGCTGTCATTGGCGATAAATTTTAGTCAGCTTTCTGATCATACCCATATGCCTAACCCGAGACCAATCCACTTTTACTCAAAGGGTTCTGTTGGTTGCACTTTTTGGATTGAGACCTTGAGACCTTGATTGAGACCGGATAATAAATCCCGTTGATGTGAATTTACACAAATAAGAGTTGCGATGACGACTATATTAGTCATAACATGGTAGGCGAAGAAGAGCGTTTTTTTTTGTATTATGGGACTAGGCTGACTCATCGGTAATGACCAATTTAATGAAACTAGTGAATCGGATCACCCAAACGATGCAGAACATGAGTTTCTGTACTCCTTACACTCGTTGATTGTGATATGGTTGCCTCACTGACTTAAGGACGGAAATTGCCATAAAAATATTTCAGTAAACTCTACTCGGCAACCTGTGTGAAACAAACTGTTACATTATGTGCATCGCCCACAAGAAAATCAAACAAACACACGCTCATCCACTTGGGAAAATGTGATCCCGAAAGCTGTGTATAATATACTGCAAAACTATGCCCACTAAAATTCAAAATACGAATCACGAAACACGCAAGTCAAAAATCTGAGACTCTGATTAGCAAGAATGAATATGAGATTCTTCAATAAAAGCCATGGGTGGGGTGCTACAACGTCTGTTTACCATACCAACGAAAAAATGCATTGCAAACAACAGGCTACGTCCGCCTACGAGAACAATCACCTACTGAAAGTAATGTAACTAGTTCCACTGAAACGTTCCCATTGTTTCGACAAAAATGTACAGAGAAGAATAAAAACGACAAATTGTGGCTTATTACTAATCCAACCAGCCAACAAAAATCTGCTAATCCACTGCCTGCAATGTTACAACAACACTGAATGACAGTCTTTGAAAGCTGTTCTACATTCTGTCAGGTGAAAGGAAGAAGATTTTCAGTGTAGAGTTATTAATTAGAAAATTCAAACTGACCGGTTACAGACCATTGGACAGGGACGCAAAACTCTCATTTGCATCTTATTTACAAAAACTGGACATTCATCTCCTCCTGAATGCGTCTCCTTAAACTTTCCTGGATATTCATTGATTCGATTATTCCTCGCTCAAATCCAAGCAAATGTAACAAGGCGACTCCACAAATTCCGCAACAGATTTCCCCTTTTCAAGAGATTCAAAGCGAAATTCCACGAAAAACACATACTACTCACGTGCCACCCCATCAGTAGTATCACCGTTACATGAGTAGCTCTACAAAAGCTTGGAAATTGTTACCTGTGATAAAACTGATCACTCATGGTGAGCCTCAAAAAGGCAAAACTTATTGACTTATCCACTGGATTTCATCTGGCTTATAAAAAGCTTCATATCAAGGAGAGTAGTACAAGGTCATGCATTCCATTCCAAAAAATTAGGTGGTTCGTGTCCAGTATATTTTTTTAAATATAGCAAAAACGAACAGTTCAGCCTCAATCAGGCTGAGTCCCCTGGCGACACTAGGTTCATCCAACAAGCGAATTTTATCTTCACAGTATTATTTGTTGTTTCTCACCTATAATTATTCATTTTGGGAAGAACAAATAACTTTAGTATTCTACTTCGTCTGGAAAATCCAGTCTTTTTGGAAAAAAGACCCACAAAATTTATTTTAAGCGAAGCTTCGTGAAACACACAAAGGAGAAATGAAACGGTCAGTGACAACACAAAACCTTGTGAGCCGTCCCGGTTTCACAAAATTAGACTATCATAGTTTGGAAAATGTTTTTCCGGTCAAGAACACTTTGGAATTTGTATACAAGTGTAACATAAGAGACTACTCAAGCTGAAGTCCATAATTATCAGTCGTTTCTTAGTGGTAGTCAAATTCGTGGTTGGATAGGCTTTATCGGCAGGTGCATCGTAACCTTATACACATTTGTCAGCTTATCTCCTTGCTCTTCTGCTCTTAGGAGATTAATTCTAGGAGAAGAGTTGCTATGCCAAATTCGGACAAATTGTTGAATAAAGATATAATCCTAACATAGGCACTTATTTTCAGATGAATGATACAAGTTGAATTTAATTTCATATATTACACTCGAAGCTGATCAATTAATTTTTTCGTAGGGACAACACCGAGGTGTTTTAAGCCTCTTTCCGCGCAAAATAGGTCTGTCTTTTCTATATTATTCGTACGTGAAATGCTTTTTGTGCACACTTTAGATTCGCTGTGTTTGCAAAGGTCTATAAACGCCCATGTATTTCGTCTTATGCATGTTTCATACTCTTAATCGCATAATTCACACATGATTCCACAAAAGTAGTGTTGTTTTCTCAGAATATCTGGATTCATTCGAAGAGCTGAGAGGCAATCCCTACTTCGAGGACCTGCGGCCTATGGCTATCAAACGATACATTCGTTTCGGGAAACGGATACCCAAACACCAAGAACGCTCATCTCGACCGGAATTAATGGATTTAGCCGGACAACCCACTGAGTTTATTCGCTTTGGGTAACTGATCTTCACAATACCAAAAAAGGACCGTTCTTGATTCTGTGAAGCGGGATAATAAATTTTGTCACGAATCAGTTGTTTTTTTATGATTCCCTGTGAATCAAATCATCCTTGTGAATAGGCTGTATCATTTGCAAAACCTATCCCACTTAGCAGATCCACAACGACGCATTAGGAAGCAAACAGTGGTTTTGTTTAAAGGGTTGTCCGGAATTTGAATAAACTAATCAGGCGAATCACAACCTACTACACATAATAGTCGTTTGAGTAAAACTAGAAGACGCGTGCGTGACTGGAAAAGTTGGTGAGTAGTAGCCGTTTCTAAATGACCCAGAGTGCCCTGTGAAGAATCGGTTGCTTGCACTGTTCAGAGTTGTAGATGTAATCCATTCAACATGGAGTAGCCATAAGTTAAGTACCGGTACTTATCCGATTCATGCGCATGCCGTCCACTAAACGCTAACTGGCTCAGGGTTTCACCAGCAGCCATTAAAAAAGACATTACTGATTATCTTCATGAGTGCAAAGATTGAAATCTATTTCTGTATGACGGTGGAACCATACTCTCACAAACAATAGTTACGCCCTCAGTTACTAAATGAATTAGCAGGCTATTTTAAATATCCTCTCGTTTCCTTTGTTGGTCTTGCTATACGTGATGAATCCAGGAAAGTTAAACACTTAGGTTAGACACTTAGGTTGGTGTTCGTTATCCTTATCTGAAATCAATTAGGAGCCAGCTTTAAGTGAACTTTTGAGGTCCAAGAGCAACTTCAAAAACCATTAGGCTGATTCACAGCCTCTGTGAACCTGAAACCTCCCTAATCGACTTCGGGGTTTTTGAAACCGCTGGCAAATAAGTGATCCAATAAAATGCGACCACCAAGGTTTGGAGAAGCAGATAGGTTGGGAACAGCCACTCTTATTGGTGATCTGAAAAGAAACAGTGATGACAGAGCCACGCGATCCACAAAACATCTGTGATTAGAAAAAGACAACTGAACTGTGAAATGTTATAACATTCAACCGTGCCACTGGAGCTTCGAAAAACTAGCTCACTTTTGAAAGCATTTTCAGGTCGAGTTTACTCGATGAAATTTGTCGGAAAATTCGCCTATGTAAAGTTATTTCAGTGTTACTTCTTAAGTTTACTGATGGTTAAGAAATCTACCAAGCCCATAACGATGTTCATGATAGGCCTGCGTGAGTTTAGGTGATAAGCATAAACTGTGCCGCATGGGTTTCATGAAGTAATCAGTTCGATTGAAAATCCCCTGGCAGAGGTGTGTTGGTAATCATGTGAAAATTCGGTGAAAAAAGAAAACTGCAAGACCAAGTTACATTTTGTGGACTTTCATCGGACAAATCCGGAACAGATCTTGATTGTTTTATACTTTTTTTCATTATTTTGTTAAGCTTGCAAATGCAGTAAGCTAGGTTTATTGACAATCCATAAATTGCGGAGCAAAATGCAATGACGTCTTCTTTGATTCTGATATGGTGCATGAGTTTAGCAAGCCAGTGTTTAGTCGTAACGGTTTCCATCCAGCTGCAACTTCTGTAGACAACCAAACAGTGTTTTGAAAATGTTTAAAAATGTTTGAAATTGATTTGTGATTAAGCCCACTCCATTGTCGCTGTCTTGGAGATGGTCAGGCCTCAAGAGGTTTCATCACTGTGAGCGAAACACCTTTTAAGCTTGTAATAAGAATACATCCACCGCAACTAACTTGAACTAAGTGAATGCTGTACGGCTTGTTTAAATGGTCCGTGTATTTGCATGACACAACCTTAACGGGCATACCAACGGAAAGCACAAACTGAACGGTGGCTGGTTCGCGGTTCGAGCCTCTGTGGCAAAGCCGATCATACGCAAGCCTGTTTACCCCATCCAGTAGAACAATATTAGTGTTCAACATATGCTAGTGAAAATCAGGTTAAAAAACTCATATTGACGAGGATGCTGCATGCTGAGAAGCTCAAAATTTACTCGAGTCCGAGGTTTTTGTTATCTTGTCGATTGAGCAGAATAATCTTTAGAAGATCAGAACACTGCTCAAAACCAGATTACCATAAACAAGCTACTGCATTTCAGCCCCACCACTGACTGTTCTTTAAAATGGAAATATATACATATTCTTGTCGATTGAGCAGAATAATCTTTAGAAGATCAGAACACTGCTCAAAACCAGATTACCATAAACAAGCTACTGCATTTCAGCCCCACCACTGACTGTTCTTTAAAATGGAAATTCGATATATACATATATATATATATAAATGAGTACCTTTCTGTAGATTATATTTGTTGAATCTAAATATGTTTAGAAATATTTCATACAAGAATGGCTTTTCTCGTAATTTCCTCCAAAAAGAGTTTGTTCATGTTCAGAGGCACTTCAGGTCGCCTGGAACCTTTTTCAGAGTGCACAAAAATGCCTGGCTTAGTGAACTAATTTGGTGGGACACATCTTTTGAGCAAAAGTTGTAGGATGTTTACCATGATTCCAACGTATTCCGAAATGTGTATGAGCTAACTCAACACAACTGGATTGCTGGGAAGAAGAAAAAGCCGAGTTTCTAGTGGTAACTTTAGAGCAACCAAAATCTGTGACTGATCCAGAGAGTCTTGACATAACCATGTTATGCTTTTTGGAAAATATGTCAAGGCGTGGCTGTCTTATAGTAATTAGAATCCTGATTAGAACTGATGAACTTCAGTAGACACACTGGTTCCCTGTGAATTATGTATATAACCTATTCTCGCAAAATTTTGTAGCTTTTCTGCGAACAAAAGCATTAGACAATCTCAACGAAAGATGGAGGGTGGGCTTTTGACATCATGTGAAAAACATTTTGTTGAACAATTACCAGTTCAGAGGAGTTCCACAATAAACTTTGTTTTCCATTGACAAAAATTAGTGATACCAGCTGTTTATCCCAGCTCTGTTTTGGACAGGCTCAGATTCTAATACAATGAACCTTAATATTGAAAAACATTTATTGTTTCATTCGTAAATGCAATGAACTAGCTAGTATTCAATCAGCTACACCCTCTCCTCAGGTTAGCGGTTCTTCTTATATTCCAATAGCACTCGCATCAGTAAATCACTCTGTAATATTCCAAATGGTACTGAGTAGCATCACTCTTTGAACGAAGTCAGTGTAAAAAATTTCACTGATCTACGGCTTCTTCTGGTTCATTTGGTTTTCGATTGTTCTTATATCACCTTCCTTTGATCAAGATATTTATTGGTGTGCCCAATATGAAAAGCAGTCTACCAAATAAATGAATACCAAAGATTAGTTGTCTAAACCTGATGTCCATCTGTAGTGTCATTGATGAAATGATACCCGGCTACTCCAATTCAGAGCACTGCGAGCTCCTTCTTTCATTAAAAAACGGGTAGGACTGGTCTACTGATTTCTCAGCTGATGCAGTAGCTCATGTAGTTTGGAAGTCAGTGATTGGTTTGATCTCTCCTTTACCTTGAAGTGCTTGATGGTTGTGCCGCTTTCATTTCAATTTTGTGAATTTTGGTGCAAAATTAAGTGTTCTCAGTGTAGCACTTTTAACAGGAATATTGGGTGCTTTGGTCATTTTCAAGCCTTTATTCCTCTCTATTTATCCGAGGCATTTGTCTCCACCGCAATACAAATACGGTTATTCCTGCGGCCGCGGTGTGAGTTCAGTCCAGACCTGCTGGTTGGGTGCACAAGGCACTAGCCATAACATTTTACTAATCGAGTGAAGAAAGTAAGGGTGGCCCAGCTATTAGTAATCTATTCTCTATCCGTAATTGTTTGGGGCTTCCGACTTCGCTGCGAATATGTCTGAGGTGAGCCTGCCACGAATTAGTAAAACAGAGTAACTCTAACTTTTTACGTCTTTTGTAGCAGTTTTGAGGGTGCATATTCGAACGCCACAATAAAACTACATAAAATAATGATATATCCACGTCACAAAATCCGGTTTCTGTGGCCAGCGTGTCAACTTCTTTGCTTCTCGATAGTGGTATTTTATATTTGGTGATAATTTCTAGGTTTCTACTAGGTTAATTTCCGTGTTATTGGGTTGATCACTACTGGAAGGATACGATTCCAAATTTTTAAAAAATATTATACAATAAGACTGTGTACTCAACGACGCATTTTTGCCATGAGTCGGTCCTAATTTACCCGACACACAAAATACTGAATTTCGTGTGGGTTTCGTATTTTACAAATTCTTTCTTTAAACGAAATTCCCCCGTTTACATACAAACATACAAGACAGGAATCGGAAAATGCTAAAATCGGTGGAAATACGTAGTCCTTTTGGTTTATTTTTTCGGCAGTTTCTTTTTAGTTATCACCAGATCTGCCAGCCTTATGGAACTTAATGCAAACTGACTTGCAATGATCTCGAAGGATAGACAAATCCACTGCCCCTTTTCTATGCTACCTGTTGTTCGGGCCTCTCTTTTTCAGAATCCAATAAGTTACTTGTGTAATTGTGGGTTTATAAAACAATGACACTGAATAACGATAAATCAAGCCATGGAATGCCCCACATGCTAGTCAGTTATGTAGTTGTTTGTATGTTTATCAAGTCCTGTTGAACTATCTCCATGAAGTACTGACCCATAAGTCGCTTTTGCTCAGTAAAACTGTTATTTGCAGCAATCTATTCGAGAGGATGTTTTAACTATGGAAACACGGTTTAGATATAAATTCGAGGATTCAAAGTCCTTTGAAATCACTGACTGACAACCAACTGCCTATCAGTTGCTCTAAATTTTCAAGGATAAATTTCGAAAGAACAACAAATGTGCTGACTACAAGATCTGTGACGATTGAAGTTGCATTGCTGATAAATATAAAGCACTGTAAACAACTACCATCTGTACCCATTATAAATCGGCAAATTACTGCTCAATATTTCATGCTCGTTCGGAAATGTGTTCCACGCCCTGACATCATGCAGACGGCGCCAACTATTTTCAAACTCAGTTTGCACACTCAGTGAATTTCAGGGGGCCCGTTACAGTAGAATTTAAGTCACATGCTTTTCCGGTAAAAAAAAGTTTCGACAGCGAGCTTTCAAGTGCAACTAAACAGGCTAAACTACTGAATCCCCTAGTTTCTTCCGTCACCAAAAAAATGGAGTCTAATTGTGCATATGTGATATAGCAAATAAGCCGATATCTCGAATATCGTGTCAAATGAATCATGAGGCGGCCCGTATGAAGCACATTCAGTTGTAGAATATCATAAATGAGAGATTCGGTTGAGTCTCCCGTGAAAACCAAATTTATTTGCAAATGAATGCATTTCTCAAAAACCGGTAGATTGTTTTTCTTATTTGGCTGATTTCAATTCCGAGCCGGAACCTCTGTTCCTATTTGTGATTCGCATTGCTGCTTAGCTTTCTCTTCACAATGTTTTCTGTGCTTTAATTCAATTATTGACTTATTGCTCGCCAATTTCGTCCAATCAATTGTTGCAAACAGCAAGATGTCAAGTAACGATATGAATCAATTCTTGTAAGTGAAAGCAAGATATACTGATCAGCCGGAAAGCGCTGCACTGCAGTTTTATTCTTATTTGAAATCGGTGACAATCAAAGCCCATCCATTTCTAGAAGGGTTACTCTTCATCTGGATAATAATAATCGATAGCAGGGAGCTGGTCAAAAATGTGGCCAAAATGTACTGACGTAGCTTTCTTATTTCCGAACCACAACGTTTATATCTTGAGATGTTGTGTTGACAGCTATTCAAGAAAAGAACAGTTTCACGAAGTGCATCTGGCACAAGTGTTCAACAGTAAGTACACTTATTTGCATATCAGTTAGGTTTTAAGGGAGACTCATCTGGAACCTAGATGAATCTCTCGTTTTTTGATGTTTCTAAGCAACTAAAGGTGCTACAGCGGGCCGCTTCATGCTTCATTTGGTACGATATTCGAGATATCACGAAACATTGCGTGGACTCGATGCACTACACGACCTTATGAGTAGCGTCATTCGGTTGCTTAAGAACATAAACAAGAGATTCGGCTGTGCTCTGAGTGAGTCTTTGGTCGAAACCCAAATGATATGCAAATGTGTGTATTTGTTAAAATCAGTTCAAGTTTGATTCAAGTTGGACATAAGGTTCACGGAAATTAGAGGAGACTACGATTACCTGATGAGGCCTAAAAAGAGCTAAACCTATCGTGAGCAGTCAAGAGTTTTCAGTAACCTTATGAGCAATATATTACATCAATAAGTTTAATGGTAAGGTTATCAGATGAAAGTTTAATGAAGATAATGCACAAGGAGAGGGCGATCTACCACGGAATTCAAAATATTCTCGGCAGATCAACTACTTCGGGACATTTATGCATTAGATTCACCTGAAAGAACTGAATCAAGCCATCGTTTACCATTATTAACATCAGTATGGAACAAAAGGATACGAAGGCGCTTTCGAAGCCGTATCTGCTCACAAAAGTCAAACTCAGAAGACAAACCGGAGAGGAACTCAGTTCGTGGCTCAAATTTTGAACTGAGACAGTCGCAGTCCTCAAATTTCAAGGTTCCGTGCAAGGTAATGTAAACGCTATCTAGAATGTTCAGGGTGAGTGATTTATTTAAAGAAACATCGCAAAAGATAATTAAAGAGCAAGAAAGTGCTCGAAAACTTGCATTCATTTTGAATAGGGAGTAAACTTTTTCAGTCACATGATATACACAGGTTACGGCTTTTTTCAATTTTGGGAAACAAGCACACATCCTCCTAAAACGTACGAAACTAAAACAACAACTGATTTATATAATGGTAGTGCTAGGGTCTTAACTGACACTGAGGGCTGAATTTGCTGAGCACTCATGCAGGAGAAAAAACTATTATCGTCACAAACATTCAGCGTTTTATGCAAATACTGTCAATCATAGACTACTGATGTGTGGTCCGCATATATGGTTCGAGTAACACTTTTTTTATTTACCCAGGTAAGTTGATAAGTGATATGTTACGGTCCACCTAACTTCGAAGTGTTTTCAAAAGAATAAACTGATAATGCTCGGTGATGGGCTATGGTTAGCGGTGACAAGTCCAATTTTTGGGCACAGTATCATGTGAACCAAGAAGCTTTACTGGCCTACCATAAACATATTAGGACAGTATGTTTCCGCATGAATTATTGCACAAAATATAAAAATGCTGGATGACAATAGGCTGAAAAAATCTGGTTCGCCCTTTTAAAATGACAAAAGCTACCTTAGCAAGAAACATGAGGTTCCCGGCATGAACTTCTGAGTATGTGATTATATCCTCATCCTTCAGGTTGCGCACAAAACTCAAAATCAGCATGCTGCCTTTATATAAGAATGGCAGCCATTGTTGTTATTCAGTAGTATGGTTGTTTTTATATAACAGTCTCAACCCCGTCAAGAATGCCCCTAGAATAAAAGGGCATATATACATCATACAAAGTAAAATTCGGACATTAAGAACGACGTATGCATCCCTGCACTGCACGCCAGAAAAGTACGCCACGGATGGAGCCTTTGCTAACGATGCCTTTCGCCATGATTATCCACCCTTACTCCACCCTTGTTTGTCTCACTTTATCAGGAGTGACAACAGGCAAAGAACCCCGGAGAAACTACTTGACCACTGTGTGGTTTCTACAGTCGTCCAGGCACTGCTACACACCGGGCGTCCAAATGATAAGGAATTGAAAATTACTGAACGATAGCCCAAAGAAATATAGCTACACTGATGATATTCGCCCTTGTGTTAACCGTCTCGATTGGTTGCAGAGAGAACACATAACCCAATAGCTCATTTAGGTTGAAAAGTGCTCCGCTCTTAAAATCATAACCTACCTATAAAGGTGTGAAAACTTACGGACTTTCAGGAGCATTCTAAACGGTAACCATTTGGATTAACGTCGCGTAAAATTACTTAATATTCATGGTACACGGGAGAAAAATTGAAGATTTTATCCTTTACTGCGGCGGTACATGGTTCGTTTAACTCACTCCAATAGTGTAGCTGATGAAAAACCAGATATTCCTTAAGGTTGTGCGCAAAATTTAGGTGAGCGTTCAAAGCGTAGCTTCTCCAAGGCAAATGCACAAGGACCTCCGTAAACACTCTGGAGGTTCCTTCCAGAACAGCTTAACCCTCTAGATAAGATGCCGGTGATACAGTCATTGCGACACACCTGATATGAAGATTTCTAAAGTTATACATGTACGGGGAAACATACGCACCTTAAGGAAGACATCTAAAAACAAATGAACCTGATTAAACATGTCACCGTTACTTATTAGACTTAATGCGCAAGGTTTCCGTATTCGTACCATGATTTTGAATGCATTGGATGAGCAAATGACAACTAAATCTTTTCCGATCAAGGAAGCATTAAGCTGCTCGCTTCTGTTACATACATGGAGCAACTCTGTCACTTGTCTGCACCTGATGTTAGCGACATGCATTTTTAACTAGTGTCTATTACTATGAAAATACGTCTTTGTCGACGACTCTGAAAAAAGTAATTATATATTTCTCTCACTACATTAATTATTAGATCCACTATGGTCCCCTAACTGACTTTCAATCATGCAAAAAAGATACTGTTCGCATGCAGTTCATCTACAATTTCAACACTAAGCTTCCTCAAAAATTTTGTCGCTTGTTTTGATATGTTACCACCATAAGGTGGTTTGAGTACTACAACGAAAAACTGTAATCCTTTCTTTACAGATCTTCATTTAGGCATTCGCTCTTTGCAGGTTGCTTGAATATGCTACGGCATTTTTAAGCCATTTTTGGTTTTGCACGCACCGGACTGGAAAGAAAATAGGGCTCAGCTTACAGATAAACTGGTTAAACTCTGAACATGTGGTTATTAGAAATACTTTGACTATCCCCATCATTCTATCGAAAGATAATTGGTACAATCGTTGGAGTTATCAACTGTAGCACAAGGGTTCCAGTGTTGTGCCCCGTATCCAGCCAAATTCCTCCGGGAAGCCATTCGATCGCAGAGGAATTTCTGTAGCCCAGGTGGTATCAATTACTGTTGATCCGTTCCAGAAGCCGGAATCCAAGTGCTTCATCACGAATCATGGCGATAACCACTGCCTAATGCTTTGATGGTGCCATACTAAAATTTTCGTCTCCTTACTGTACTGTTAACTGTTAAATCATTCTGTTTGTTGACAAAACCTTCACGACCATATTACCTAGCTTAGAAAAAACTGGAGGCCCAAAGTTTCTAGTTGCTGCTGGCCTTGCTTGCTTGCACACTACCATGACATTAGGCGTAACATAACCTGTTCATTAGAGTTTCCTCATAATTCCTGGTGACCGGTAGCAGCAGGTTCTATTCTACACATTGTAGCACAGTGCGGGAAAAAGAGGCCTATAAGGTCATTAATGACGTTACAATTGTTGCTACGTATGGCATATTCACAAAGGTTTCTGTTTAATCATTGTTGTAATTGGGAGGTACAAGAAGCTCGCAAGTAAGCAGAAAAACCGATATTAAGCTAAATTATCACCAACTGACGCCCCAGACATTTGTGAAGGAGCTGGTTGTCTACGCGCTTTGAAGCGGGACTCTTGTCATTAATAGAAATAGCCGCTTTGAATATGACGCACGAATCGTTTAAAAAGGAAATTTTCCAACAACCAGATGCAACAAGCATGGTTTTTTTATGTTACAATTATTTATAGTGAAATGAATTCATACAAATGGATAGGATGTAAAAGTAAATTTAACAGGCGAAGCGTGCAATGTTAGCGAATACAAGGGACTGATAATGAGTAAAAGTTTTGTGACGCACATTTAAAACAGATAAGCTACGACTCAACTGAGAGGAGAAACCTCCAGACCTTCCTTGTGTTATACATTTATGCGAAAAAATGAATAGGGTGCAAACTGGGATGAGGAATGATATAACTGGAAGCCAAAATGACAGCAAAAATATTTTGGTCCACATATGATAGTATTTAGACATCTACTTGGGGGCGGACAACTGAGAGTAGAAATCTTGACTGCGCTCTTTTAGAGCACCTCAGAAGAATCAACCACCACGCCGTGTTCTAGAAATTTGGTCAATCGAAACCAGCATATTTTGATCTCATTGCTGGTGATGCTGCCGGAATCAGGGGCATTCAGGTTATCGGAAATCGCGTTGGGGAGAAATGTCTTCAGAAGTACAAACATATCTGGCCACTTCTTTGTGGCATAGAATCAGACGCTATTATTCCAAAATTTCTAGGTGTATTTTAAAATGATAGGCTCGTGATTACCGCTCGGAAGAATGAGTTTACTGCCAGATTACTTCGGTTCATATTATCTTCCGTGTTCTGTTCCACGAGGCGTGGACAACCATTGTGAGTTAAATCTCTGTGGTTGCGAAAAAAGCCCACTGTTTGATCAGCTTCTGGTACTTCAAAATGTAAGCAAAATACTCCACAAGTTTACCAAGCTCTCTCATAACAAAGTGCTATCCTGTTAGTAGAGTAAGCTTAAGGCTTATTAAGAATGGTTTTCATTCCATGTTCTGTTAGACGATCATCACACGNATACTCCACAAGTTTACCAAGCTCTCTCATAACAAAGTGCTATCCTGTTAGTAGAGTAAGCTTAAGGCTTATTAAGAATGGTTTTCATTCCATGTTCTGTTAGACGATAGTTTCATCACACGCAGGAATGCGTGATGAAAAATATCGTGTCAAACAATAAATCCAGATTGTTATTTTACACATGCCGAGCAACACAGAGGCAATCTATGCATCTGTTACGTTCACTGGAAAGAAAATTTATGTGCTGGCTTCTGGGCATGAATCAGCGCTTGTGTCTGCAATTCTCTCTGAGGAATTCTTCTTTGTTGCCATATGACAGAAAAATTTATTATATGCCGTGTGACTGCCTAAGCACAACCGAATGAATGCGATCTAAAAAGAGGAAAGCCTCAGAGCTACCTGGCTGGGAATACTTGTCACGCTTTAGCCTTATTCTTCGCCCTAATTTTACTCAGTAATTACTTTGTACCTGTCAGGCTGTTTAGAACATTTCAGAGAGGATTTTCTCCAATAGTATCTCACTGGAACTTCTACGGCAGGCTTACAAGTTCAGCATTTGCTCTGCAGTGAATTTTGCAAATACAAGAATTTTTCGAGCCTCTGAAAGCTTGCTGTATGAGATCATAAACAAACTCTGCTTCTTACAGGATCAAACTTGTCAGGGTGTTCAAAGCTGTGTATATTTTATTGAGTCATCAACGAAAGCACGGATAGAGCGAGATACAAACTAACACCCATTTGCAAATCAATTTGGTTTTCACGGGAAACTCAATTGAATCTCTCGTTTATGATGTCCTCCAACTGAATGTGCTGCGCACAAGCCGCCTCATGATTCAGTTGGCACGATATTCGAGATATAGCAGTATATTTTCACAAAGAAAACTACCCACAAGGTTGCTTACTTACGCTATTCAATTTTAAGAGGTTAAAAGCAGCGCTCACATATATTGCTAAGAGGAAATGGTGAGTTTGTACGACTAGGTTTGAAGCAAACATGTACCAAACCTCCTGCTGGGGTGTCTGGATTATGGTCCTTTTGAATTTAATCTGGCACTGGTCAAAGCAACTGAAGGCTAGTAAAATTACGAAACTGCCTTGTTCTGTTCTGTGTACTATGTCCTACCAACCAAGGGGTGAATATGTCAGATGATTTACCGTGCCAGAGGGTGTCCCTAAAATCTAAACATTATATTTCTGTATCCAAGGATGCATTGTTTCATCTATTTTATTTCCAGGCACCTCGGTTAATTACCCTGAGTTTTTGAATTGAGTGCGGGGTTCGAGGAGAACCTCAGAAAACTGCTACTTAGTCTCGAAATCAATTAACCCCTATGGGTAAGGGATGGATAGCTCGTAAATCTGAGTATGGCGTTCATACAATGAAAACACATCAGCATTCTCACTCCCTTGTAAGCTACAATCAAGCTCGATTTGGCTGTAATGATGCGCAAACGTTTATTCATTGTGCTGGAAAGAATTCACTGTCTGTGTTGTGCATTAGTCTTTATTGGCTACAAAACAAAGTTTAACCGAAATCATCACATGCCGATAGACGATCATGTGTGAAATGAACAAGCTGCACCGGGGATGATCTTTAGAAACTGAGGTACGAATTACTTCCCGTCCTGAAATTCTGCCAATCAACTGAAGAGGATTTCGCAAACCCCAAATCAGGTATATCAGTTTTTGATCTCTTCTTCTCAAGCTGTACACCTCTTTGGAACTGCTGAGAGGAACTAAAACAGTGAGTGTTATGCAGCGGCGGTACAAGAAATTCTGAAGAAGGGGTTTCCCAAAATTAGCTATGCGAACCGAATGACTGACCTTCGGTTTCAACCAAATGAAGTCGATAAACTTTTACTGCCCAAAATGTCTCCTTCACTGTATTGGCGCTGACCGTCCCATTTTGTACCGACAGTTCAGAGGAAGAAGCATGCGGTATCTCGTATTCCTACTTGGAAAGCAGTCGGTTTTTGACGACCGAAAGGGCTGCGCAAGCAAAACTAAACATGTTACTAATGCTCTGTGGTGCTCGTAAAGAAACCCTGATGAGATTTTAACAAGAGCGTACGTTTAAGTCCACTGAAATCCGTGAGATTTACTTCCCTGATATCCCCCATCAAATACGATTATTGCAGTCAATTTCAGCCGCAATGATCAAGGCCAACCGTTTGGAATCAACAAAATTTAAGTTAAAAATTCACAAACGGAATGCCATTTTGATTATCCAGAACTGTTCGCACCATGCATTCAGGCTTTGGTATCCTTCAGCCTGGAAACTTCTGCAAAACAAAAATAAGCCTCAAAACAAACCGTTTCTATCACCGTTTCTGACACCATCAAGTGTTTCGGGTGTATTATCGATGCAAACTCATTCCAGTGTAACGTGCCACCTAATCCGTACCAGCCTTTCGTTGAAAAAGCCGCAGTGACTGGTGAAACGGTGAAAGAGGCCTGGAAAAGCACGGTTGAGAACCGCTGCTACAGAGGCTATGGATGAGCTTGAAATTTAACCATCAGGCGAACTCTTCAACCTTTACAAAGCTCCATTTATGTAGTTGCTTTGTAGTTCGGAGGTATATTGTGCACAAAAAGCGCGTATAAGAAATCAAGGATATACTTTTGAAGGAAGTAAGTGGTTCATGGATAACTAGAAGTCCGTTATAGTGTAAATTCCGTATGATCCTTCTGAATTCGAATTTAAGAGCGGTTCGCCGTGCAACAGAATTCTCATGCGTGTCATTCTAGTGTTGAGCGTCCTGATGCAATAAGCTGGTTTGATTCTTATTACCGAAACATGATTCACTTTGTTATAATCGCGACTGCGACAACTTTTGCAGAAAACCTACTCAAGAAATGAACGTCCAGAACACAAGAAGTACACACTTACCTGAACGACAAACAGCTTATTAAAAATCACAACGAAATGAAGCGCAATATCAGGAAATCTCGAAAACTTTCATGTCAATTTTCACTTTTGTCTGGCATAACTTTAATGGCTACTTGCCCAAACCACTGGCGTTTCCAGGACCTGTTTATTTACATACCCCCGGAAAACTGGGCGCGCTGGTCGTCTCCAGAATTATGCAGGTACCTGTTGCTCACCAGTCAAGGTGAAAGTTGTGTTGAGGCGATCAGCAGAATTTCCTGGTCTATGATGATATTTAGACTCCTCAATTCCGAACTTCGTTCCAGAAGTGAACTCAAACCCGTTTTAAATTATTTTGAAAATCATGAATGAAACATCAAACGCAAATGAAGATGAGTGTCTATGTGAGCGGTAGCCACAGCGTTGTTTATCTACCCACAGTCGAATGTTGCGACATAAACTTCTGTTTGAAACGTTTTCCCAGTTCTCCTCCTGTCTAGGAATACAACGTGCCTACATAAATTCGCTTAGCTTGGCAATTTGGTTGCAAACATTTTATCATTCACCGAGGTGACATCATCTGTGAGCAGGAGATTGTTTAGCGGTGCGTCTTGGTGAAGGCATTGAGCAATGCTTTGGTAGAAGGGTAACTTTTGATTGCGATCGGCTCCTCGGGTGATTAAACATGTTGGTTGGCTAGTTGGTCAATTCCCGGCCCATGGAGTTGAATAAATTGGATTGATAGGCAAACAAAGGTGATATCAGGGACATGCGTGCGTGGATGACAAAAGTCATAGCAACTAGGATGAACTGTTAGACTGTAGCAGCTTCAAATCGCGTGATTCACTAGTGAATCACGGCAAGCAATAGCGAACAAGATTCAGTCACGTGGTGGAACAGACGGATGGGCACCGAACGATTATGGCTTTAGGTCTTATGGCACGAGGAAACGCTCGATAAATCAATACGCAAATAGAACATAGACACAGCAACGAAGCACAGTTGATAGCCCGAAGTACACCCGTATCCGAATACGTTTCTGGGACAGTGTGACTTCTCAGGCTGAATCCGTCCATGTACTGTAGTTCACATACAGTTCCCTATCATGATAAGCGGTCTCCGGACCTAAAGTTAGCACTATCTTGGAATTCTTGTTGATCCTAGAGGCAACCGAACAAGATTCTTTGAAACCCTAACATAAAACTAATTCTCGAAGAAAATGAAGATGTAGTGAATAGCTTCACAGTCCGTATTCTGGGTGTTATGGTGAAAAATACCGACATTGTATCAAATACCTTGGACTCCATTGAGACTTCTCTCGGTAAATGAGTCTCAGAAATCCAGCTATGACCCGAACTAAAAATCCGACGGGTTGATGGTGTTAGATTCTCTAGATGTAACACGGTTTGTTTGTGTAGATTTTGCTCCAGGAATAGACAGCATGACAACTTATGACCCATCCCAGTTTTTGAACAATCGGGCTCAGTACTGGTTAGTGGCAGAAGGCAGTGAGGTATTCTCCTTATCCAAAAGTCCTGAGTCATTTGCCACAAAAACTCGTGGGAAGCGCAAAGTAGTATTTGTCCACTTTGGTAGTGATCAGGTAATTGTTGATCTGTTGGCCAAGACTGGCAGATTACTTGCAGACGTCTTGAAGACGTCCGGACGGGTGAGAATGGGACAAAGTCAAGGTGCATTCGAGTTGGGTTGCGAGGTTTTCTTATGAAACGACCCTCATTACAATGACTATCTAGGCAAATCCTGGTCATTTTTCTATATTCTGTGGGAGAATTTCTAGTTGCTTGTGCATCAAAGAATCAGGCCCGTTTTTGTATTTGCAGGCCATTGCAACCCGATTGCCTTCTCTGTTTGCATCTTATACATTTAAACGACTTCGGGGACCATCCGTCGCTACCTAGGAGTGTCCAGCATTTGACCTCAAGTAATGCGCTTTGCATGACCAAAGATGCTTAAGACATATTCAGATTTGCCCGGATTGACTCCTACCTGAAAACCACCTAACCACATTTGCAAAGAATACGGACGAGATAATGATATAATAAACTTTTCCAGTACCAGTGGGAATTAAAAACAAGGACAGTGATATGTTCGGCAGTTATATGTGCAGGCTGGGTGGTATAAATCATGAAAATCAGTGGAGGAAATAAAAGATGAAAGTTAATGAAGCGCAGGCGCTTTGAATGATAATGAAAATCTGTATCACAGTCGACAGAAGTTGGCAACTTTGAATAATCACATGGCCTTTCTGGAAATGTGGCTTATGAGTTGGTGGTCCAGCAGAAGTTCAGCGAGCTCGTTAGTCTGATGGAAGAAGTGAAAGATCAAGTGAGTGCAGTACATTCGTATGAACACCAGTTTATACCATATCAATATCCATTCCTCATGCAGGAAATTGCGCGAGGAAATAGCAGTATGACACTAAAAATTGAGGGAACAACACCAGTTTCTCTTCTTTCAAGGCGGAGATGATGTCCACTAACGAGCTATTATGCCTAGACTTGCTGATGGATCTCAGTGGGCCTTTGCGAGTTCAGTCTCAATCGCTGGGGTCCACACCGGATTTGCAAACTCACGGTGTGTTGGAATCCGTTGGTCTAGCCATACCCGTAGCGCACACCAGTCAATCAGGTAGGGAATCGCAACTCCTTATTATCATATCCTTCCTCAGTAAAACGACTTATTAAAAAATATAACCGAACATGGTGAAAGGTTAGCTTCATAGCTATTTTTTATGTGGAAACCGCTAAAAAGGAACCAATGACACCCAAAACAATGATGAAAAATACAACAAACACAAAGATGGTTTAGGTCAAAACTAATCGATATAGTTTATCCCACTCAAATACATAACCAAGATGTTAAACAAAAGGGTTTACTAAGCGACTTAACAACAGGAAAGATCACCTCAGGAAAGTAGGAGTATGTTTGAAGGTCAGCCGAAGGCCACGTCACTGAGACGGATGTGTCACGTGCGGGCTACGGACCGAACGAAGGTATACTTTGATTGACCAGAACGTCAGCCAACCAGGACTTATAGCTTGGCTTTTCTTGCCCTTCAAGAAGATTCTGGCGTGAGCTTGTGGAACCTTCCGGGATAACCCTATGAATACTTTTAATAGATCTTTGTCTCCATAAGAGGCTGTCAGTCTGCTTTATCTTTTGATGTACCATGGAAGGCAGAGTAGGAAACTCAATGACCGATATAGGAGTTGTAATCCTGTTTGCAGTACGCCAGACAGCCGCACAGAGACGTGGTTACAACATACCAGCAGTGTACAGAGGTATGTGATCGAAATCTTGAGAAATAGCTGAGTATCACTCAGCATGTGCAGACAGTCACGGAGACCCTCTCATGAGATCCCGACATCAGACGCCTCCCAAATGAGGTCACTTTGAATGTCATTGTGGCGTAAAACCCTCTTCACCAAACGGTCAAGATACCGATTCCACGCGCAAAACTGTGTTATATTCTGATACCACCTGAAAATCACCAGTACGACGGCTGCAACTGTAACAAAACAATTTTCTCGGTTTCACATTACTACAGTTGTCATAGACTATACTTGTAAATCCTGTAAATGGATTTAGGTCTAGGCATTTTTCCATGCACATTTATGCATCTGGAGACCACTATAGAGACCAAAGAGCAGTCTGTTTAAAAAGGACGTGAAGATAAATTGTGGCCCTCTGAAACTACCACTCCAGAGGCTGGCCGAAAGTGGTCTCCAGTTAGAAGTGTCCTAAGTGGAGGACATGTGTATATTTGAAGGAATAAAAACTGCCTATACAAAGGCGGTAATCACCATGTAACCACTGCAGGTTGAATTCCCTTCTTCAGGGGCTAGTAATGGGTTATCACAAGTCTCCATTGTAAACCACTTTGCAATGACTTCATGCAATGTTTTCCCCTCCTTGTTTGCTAACTAATTAGGCATCCGCATAGCACAAAAACTTCTAGTGAAATATCCTCTGGAAGTAGGGAGATGAAGTTGTTTTCAAGCGATGTTCCAGACAGTAGAACACCTGTGACAAACAGCGAGGAATGTGGAGTTACCTGTGCTGCACACACGGTTGCATATATTTGAGTGCCTATCTCATGTGGGTGACCGCAGAAAGTCCACTGCTGAAAAGACCTCATGGGGCTAAGTAAAGTGGTAACCTGTACTGAGGACGGCCCTCCGGAGTAATAATAATATTCGACAGCATGACATCAGTGTTCAACACCGATGCTTCACTGCCGTACAACCATGATTTATTTGAAACCCTTATTGTAAAGAAAAGAGTAGAGGTAGACGGGGAAGGAACTTGGTGCTAGATTACCACAATCATTCCGGGGTACCTACACCTGCAGACATTCACTCAGGCAATCTGGATAGAAACTGACAACAACAACAACGCCACTGACGTCGGTTGGCAGCCACATCTTGTAGTGTCTCCAACCAGCCACAGTAAGGATCACGCGGTCCCCATCCTGGAAGGCGAGTAGCACCGACAGCACCCAAGCCTTTCGTGATCTCCTTCATACTCCTCTGCCAAGTCAAGGGTTGGTCACCTCTCTGTTTACGCCACTCTGAGTTGGGCATGGGAAACAGCACTCTCTTCGGAAAATTATGGATAAACATACGCAACATATGTCCCAACCAACGCAGCTTCTTCCGCTGGAAGTACCCGCCGCACAACCGAAAACTCGCTTTCTAATTGCCTCGTCACGGATTCGCCGACACCACCCCACACGAGCTATGGTACTGAGACAACGATTGTCGACCACCTGAAGACGTCTCAGTCCCGATGCTCAAATAGGCCAAGTCTCAGTCGTACAATAAAACAGCCAGCACTGTAGCTTGATACACACATCCCTTCAGATTCAGGGATAAACCATTCTGACGCCATAGGTATCTCAAGTTAGCAAATGCGGCCCGAGCCTTGCAGATTCGTGCGTTCACCTCGTCTGTCACACTACAATTAGAACTAATACAACTTCCAAGATACGTAAAACGCTCCACAACTTCCAGTACCTCTACCTGGATTGTAAGTGGCATGTTCAGTGACTGCACATTCACGAGCATAACCTTATACTTTGTGGGTGCAAAGTGCATACCTAAAACAACTGCGCCTTCTCCTCTTCGAAGATGAGAACGATGTCGTCTGCGTACTCCAGATCGACGAGGTTTTCTTCACAGGCTATTTGAACACCAGGGTTTTGGAGTCCTTCCAGCGTTCGTCTCATGATTTTACCGATCACAAAGTTAAAAAGGAATGGAGAGAGTGGGCATCCCTGACGAACACCGCTTTGTGTACGGAAGCTTTTGGGGAGCTCACTGTATACTCTCACGTGTCCGGAAGTCTGAGAATATAAGGAGCTTATTATGTTCGCGAAATTCTGGGACATTCCTCGGTGGGCAAGCGTGTAAAGAAAAGACCGATCAATCGAGTCGAATGCGCCTCGGAAATCCAGGAATACTAGAATCGTAGTACCTGACGAAGTGTGAAGATTGGTCAACGTAACCCACGCCAGGCCGGAACCTCGCTTGCTGATCTCGAGCCAGTATCTCACCAACCACTATAAGGCGGCGAAGCCAAATTGGTGCCAACAGTTTCGTTACGATCGGGATCAAGGTGATCAACCTGTGGTTACCGCACTCACTACGAACCCCTTTTGTGAAAATGGGCACTATCACCGACTCTCCTCAGTTGTTTGGGATAGGCTCCTTAGACAAAATGCAAACAAACGGATCAGACAAACGATGACTGAGGACTTCACCCTCATCTTTGAATAATGTGGGTGGGAGGTCATCCGGACCAGAGGCTCGGTGGCGCCTAAGAGAACATATGCAGTCATGAACCTCCGAGGCCACCCGCGGTTCCGCGTTTACCGTCCAGAGTTCTACGTCACTCGTGGACTCCAGATGGATACCCGCTGGTGACCAAAATAGTCGTTGTTAGAAGTATTCGGTTCATCGGTCAAGGAGTTCTGCTATATTCGAGATGTTCACACCATTCCGATCCTTGATGGTATTGCCTACAGTTGGTTTCCGGAGACCGGTCGAACGGACCAACTGAAACAATCGTCGGGCATTACCAAATTTATGGGCCTCTTCCATTTCTTTGGCTCTCTGTGTCCACCATACTTCACGGTCGGCTCGCACACTTACTTTCACTTGATGTCTGATAACTCTTCGCACCGGGTTATCTTCGGGACCAGCTGGGATCATTCTCCGAGATTTAAGCGGTATCACCGTTCGGTCTGATGTCCAGTGCGTACGTACCGTGTCCAATCCATGTCAAACTCCAAAATGGGTCGCAGATGGGGTAAGCCTGCTCACTTATGCATTCTTATCTCCGGCAACCACAACGACATCTATGCTTTCAGGTCCCATAACACGGCATTCAGGGCGTCATAAAAACTGTAGCTACAGTCAATTGGGACGTAAGCAGACACGATAAAAAGACATCGATCAACTTCCCGCTTGTGAGGCTCCTTCACAGACATTGCCAGACGAACCGCGCACAGACGACAATCAACAGGTATCCGGTCAAGTAAAGATACTTTCACCCGGTGACTTAGCATCATACCAACCCCTGCACATCCCGCCGCGGCAGCCTCTAGATCACCAAAGGTGGGCAGCCGGAAGCAAGTGGAGACTGACGGAGCGGTTGGCTTAATCACTGTGCTTGTATCTTGAATTCTCGTTTCTGAGACACAGCACACATCAATGCCAAGCGAGTCCAGTGTGAGTGCAAGAGCAGCTTGTTATCCTGTTTGATAGAGAGTTCGAACGCGGCCAGATAGACTGGGTGTCGAGGTTTGAAGATTTATTTCGAGATACCTGTGGACGTCGGCGCCATGTGGCGAGCAAATATTAAAAAAACCGCTGGAGGACGAACAGAGTCATTAGTCCTAAGTGTTGGGCTTATGTGAAAGAGAAAGAAGGGGGCATCACTTTCCGGCCCTGCTGATGCAGCGAGACATGCAGTAAGGCGACTCGGCTGATGGCACCTCGCGACAGCCGATGTGGTATGAGATTATTGTTAGTTGTAAGTGTCACGGTTGAACGTGGGCTGGGCTACTGTCTGGGCGCCCACACTTAGACAGGAGGACGATTAAGGTCCTCAACGAAAGCGTTTGGCTCAAAAACCTAACTGCAAGACAGCGGTGCTTGGTGAGAATTGCAAATGCATCACCATTACTACGGAACGAGTCACCACATGTTTCAACCCCCAACCTGGAGACTGTGTCTGTCAAACCTTTAACCACTGACCAACCTGATATGAGAGACTGTAAGTGTCGCGGAGGGTCGCTGATGTGCACAAACCATCACACCATGGTGAGGTCCAGTCCACTCGTGACAGAGTAATAATAATAATAAAATATCCTGCTAATCTGGTTCTGCGTCTGCCTTGAAACCTAGTCACCCGATCTGATGGAGCTGTTAGATCGAAAACAAAAAATTGCACTAAACATCCTATGCTTCTCCATACCTTTTTTAAAGTCAACACAAACGGGAACCCCAAACTAAAATATTGCCTGATGATGCTATACTACCGCATTATTATCATAATCTGCAAAACATACAATGCAACTTCGTAGATTCTCCTTTACATTGCGTCGAACTAAATAGCTACCCCGTGAAACATCGGGTCTGCCGGAAACTACTAATCAAAAGATATTACTTCTGAACAGTTTCTTTGAAGCTTCGCACGAAGCTCTCCAAAAATGGATAAGCTCGACTTGCATTCGAAGTGTGACCGGCTCTTCGCATACACGACTGACATTCGGTGGTAAACCGACTAGATAGAGCCAATTTAATGCGTGAGTTTGTTAATCTTGGTCACCTACGTTGCTTCCTGTTGTCCTTCATCAAAAGCAGTCATAAAGTTTATGATCGGGGGGCTCTATACAGGGGCATTGACCGGCTGGCACCTGATTTCATCAAGCCTAGTTTGATCGCACCGTACGAACAGTCCCGGGAAAGTGCTTTAAAGACTCCCACTCCATGGTCCTTAATTCGAAGTAGCCTCATACTTGTCTGGTTCAACACACAACACTGATGCCAATTTTACATTATGATCCCTCCCAAACACAGTAGCAACTTTTAGTAGGCGCAAAAATGACATTTCCGGTTCAACGTTTGACGAAACGAATGGGGTGGCATACTTCATGTCCTGGAGCGCCGTGCTTCCGTCCAAAATTTTTCGAACACACCTATAACCACATGGATGAACAGTGATGATGATACTGACACGTTTGTGTGCGGGGTGTGTGCACGGATCCTATAACCCAGTCTATTACAATCCAATGTCACCAGAGGTTTCCTCAGTGACGCCGTATCGGTTCAATAAACTGTTGCATCGGGTTAGTTTTTCTAATCCCAACATTTTAAAAGACGAAAAATTCACGATGGGATCAGCGCAAGCTCCGACTCAAACACGATCCTTTGATGACGTTCTAGAAGGCATGTGGTTTAATGGTCTTCTAACGGAAGTGTCCTAATTTTATCATTCATAAGTAATAAAAAGACTTTTGAGGGGCGTTATTTGTATAAGAGTGGAAGCCAGGACCAGTCTCGGTCTTCCACCGTATTATTAGCAGAAGTACATGTGTGTCACTATATAGCACCTAGCAAAACCAACCAGGCCATTCTGCATTTCTCGAGCATGTGAACTAGCACTGAACCCTAATGAGGATACGTTGCACCAAGTAGGAAGGACGCACATAAGTATTAAAAAAATCAATTCCTTAGCTGTCGCCTGCTTTCGGTATAGAGTTATCATGCTATATGCACGGGGTAAAATGGAAGGTGTAATCAAGGTTGAGCTCGTACCACGAAGCCCTTTTCCAAGGAAACTGAACATCTACATCTGGCTGACACACTTCGTATGATCCTTTTGATCCTATTACCTGTGAACCTATGTACATACAACACAACGCCCGGGCTGGGGAACACCTTCATGCATTTGCATATACTGGCCTGAAATAGTCACTGGAAGCAAGGACTGTTAACAGCGTTAAACTAATCAGTTCGTATGTCGGATCATCACTATCGTTAGTGACAGCAGCCCCGATATTGTCAGTCATTCTTCATCGATACACCTATCCTATGACACCAAAAATAGCCGGGAGGTGCCAGGTGATATGTAGTCATTCTATGTTGTTCTACATTAAGTTAGGCTTTAAAGTCATCTTATGGTGAAATGGAATACACTTACCTTGGATGCAAGTTCTCCCAGAATGGATGAATTTGATTGGTACCTGAGTCTCAGGGCAGTTCCACCTGTGGAAGCCGTCGAATGAAGAGCCTCCACTGACCGGGCTCGGGCACACAGCTTAGCGGCATAACTCATGTTCGAAGACCCCTTAAAAGATTTCAAATGTAATAGTGGTTTCGTTTTACCGTAACTATGACGGATGGTAAAGACGCTATTCGACAGTTTGGATGGCACTCTCAGAAGCCAGATAAGAGGGACAACATTAAAAACGCGCCAATGCCAAATGCCAGATGTCTACGAATGTAACGCAATGGTACAATAGGGACGGAAACAAGGAGCATTCGAGCAAACCCCGAATGTGTGTCGATATTGGTAATCCAATAGATGTAGTAAAACAAAACCCACAGAAAACTACCAAAATACTTTGCTCGTTAGTGTTGACCGGAAGGACGTACGTTCTGGTCAATCCGTTACTTCTCGTCCATAAAATACGGTGCGCTGTAGGACTGAAACTTCCCGAGATATAGAAGCGTCCCTTTGGTACGAATGATTCACCTTGATAAGGATGACTAGGGCTTACCTCTGCCTCCAGAGCCTTCAGCTGCTTTTGAATTCATACGATGTTCACTTTGTTGAGAATGTTTCATTTATCCAATGGTGGAACGTACAAATATCACAATAAACTGTTCTTCGTGCTGTTTTATGCTACTGGAATAGAAACTCACTAGGAATATAGTTCTATGCGTGAGATGCTCAGCTCTCACAAGTAGAACTCGGCAATCGTAAGTTGACTGATCATGTGTCTTAGAAAACACGTGACATGTTTCAACATGATACAGTATTAAACCATCACATAACCAGCAAGACCCGTTAGTGTGAGGGAACAGCGTTATTAGCACTAGCCCCCTTTACACACAAGTCACTGCCAATGAAGTCGGCTATTTCCAAAGCCATGTTTCGTCATGAAAGACCGGAAATTCTCTCGAAAGCTTAATTTGAGCTCACTTTCGTTTGGCTCCAATAGTTTAGTTGAATTATGACAAGAACGTAACATTCAACACTGTATGTAATAATAATCAAAATACGCCCATTTAAGTAAAATTTTACACTGTACTGTACAAGATTATGGGGACGGGCGTAGAGACAGGTGGACGAACATTACAAAGAGTCAGTTTTAAATACTGATTCCAAAAAACGGAAAAGAAACAACCATACATTCAAAGATAGACTTCGAAAGACTATTGGGGGTGATTACGAAGTCACATTCAGCGAAACATCGCAATTCTGGAACTGGTCCCTTCTAAATTCAGAACATTACGAATAGTTCCTTGAAGTCCACGTTTCGCAGCAAATAAATAAGCAAACAAATCAGTAACTCAGCCAATATCGACGGATGATGCTTCGGAGGCGCTCAGGTGCGTTAAAAACAGACTACCAAATGGCACATTACATCTAATTACGGAATCCCAATAGTAAGTCACATCAATGATGCCGAGCTGATAAAAGTACATTTCTGAATAAGAAAAGTAATGGTCTGGCCGTGGCAACTATTCAGTGCATAGCAGCCGTGTAACTCAAGGGAAGTAAGAGGGCCTGGGTACTACCGTGTTATTCACGGTTACATAAGTCTGCAAAACAATGGTCAAAAGATCAGGGTTGAGTTCAAACCATGGACCTTCCGGTTAGCATTTCGCGTCATGACTGCGAGGCTATTTCGAGCTCACGTTGCTGAGTCCTTCATAGCGAAACACCGGTTAAGGCAGTTGGGATGACCGCGGACTTTTTTGCAAAGACAAGGACGATTCAGTCACCAACACCATCCGCTGTCATCACTAAAGTTGGGACACCGGCACGAATTACATCTGGCGCATTGGTAAAGGTAATCAAAAGACTTACTACGACGCCACCGGCTCTTTTTATTGCAAGTTGAAATCCAAACCATTTCGGTATAACTTCCCCCGTTGGTGAATATAATTTGTCAAAAATGTAGACCAAAACTAGATGAGAGAACGCTACAATTACGGCCGACAGCGTGGACGGCAGGCATGTATGGATTAGGATCCCATAAATGTTCATACATATAGAATGCCCTGTTTTAGGGAAAAAGACTCACAGGCTTTTTCTTCCTATACAAATCCGAAGATCTGGATTCTGACAGGGGTATAGGAGGTACTTGGAACGCATCGACGGACGATTTTCTATCCGATTCCGTCGGTAGTTCTATCATGGAGCGTGCGTTTTGAACGCGAGCATGATATGATTCAATTTGGCGTTGTGTGCCCAAAGTGATCTGCCGCAAGGACTTCCGAGTCGATGAAGACCGAAGAGTTGACGGCAGAGAATCGGAAGAGGATTCGTGGAAGGAATGAGCCCGAACTCCCCGCTTCTTGCGTAAATCTAGATTATCGATGCACACCAGCGAATCTTCCGGAGAATGGTGCTCGTCAATACTGCCAGAACGAGTTGGTGCGCTGTTACAGATTGACATGTGTTTGACGATACGATTCATATTCTGGTAAAACCACACCAGAATCCGATTCAGTGCTTCTGCTGGTGATGGCAGTGGAGAATGCCATGGAGCGGGAGTATCACACGAGCTGTTCACATCCAGCAAGTCATGCACGAGTGACGTGAAGAGAGGAGAGTCTGGATTAATGGAATTGAGTAGGACAGTCAAATTCGTTCGTAAAAATTTAGCTGTGTTACCATTTTCGTGTATAGATTCTCTACAGCACATAGGAAGCACAAAGGCTGAGATGTTGCTAAGCTGTCGCAACCGAAATGGGGAGTGAGTTAGACCTGTCAGTCAATAGCTGGTGCCTTGACCAGTAGGCTAACTTACGTTCTGGCTAAGGACACCGACAAGCTAGTGTTCTGTTTGAATGACGCAACATATACGTCAAGTTGTCACTTACAGGCTTAATTCTCGCACATCTTTTAGGCGTAATCTGTTCCAAGATACGAACCACACGCACTGCGAACTTCCTTAATTTGTGATCCACGTAAAAGTGAACCAACTGGCGCCATGCGCAGAGACCTCTAGACCTATTTCACCAGGCGCAAAGATCATGCATTTCACCTTTACCGATCCCCTGGATAATACTTGAAGATCTTGTTCTCTGGAATCAAAGGGAGAGTTCAATACAGATGTTCACTTGACTAGTCGAGTTACAGTGTGAGAGGATGACCAAATAAGGGCTCCTGGTCAGACAAGATTTATACTGATAACAACCATTGGTAATAAACCCAAATCTGGGTGGAACTACTGTTGTACACCGAAAGAAACACGCATTCGTCATACAATTTATCCCATCTTGGACCGAAGTTCAGGATCACATTTCGAGCACCATAGGAAAGATATCACCACCAATGCTTACTGGCATAGGTAGTTTTCGGCACGTGGGGAATCAGAGCAGCCATCGCCTTAAATACGCTGCGATTCTTCTTGAACTGACTCTCCAAGGCAATCCGATATGCCTCAATGGTGATTTTCATGTCCCGAACACTGTTGGTTTCCTTGTATAGCTAGAAAAAGAAACGGAATCAATTCGGCCCGTTAAAACTATTGGGGAAACTCTTGAACCATCTAAGTGCGGAAAAAACTTAAGTACGAAGTGGGATCAAAAAACGGTGCGTCAGATTTACCTCCGTTACAAAAGCTGGTTTTCAAACTACTCCAAATTTCAGTTTACGTACAAGATCTGAAAAGTAATGAATTAGTGCGCTATACAGCGACACTGATTATAAGGAGAACAGAATTAGTGTGGACTGTAAATTGGTAAATGTAAATTGATTGTGCACGGCTAAGCGTTGTACAATTGTTTCACCATTACTGCAAGTCATAAGCAGTGCACACGTCACAAACCAACGGAAGAATTCGAACCCACTATCATCCAGATAGAAGCTGCAAATCTACCCTTGGGTCATTGTTGGCCGGTCAGCTATGTATATAAGTCACAACGCCACTCATCCTTCAGCACCAGACTAATATTATCTGTCGGCTTCATACTGTTTGCAGGATTTGGGAGGGTTCATGAACTCCAGCTTCTGCCTGTCAACCGGCCTATTCTGCCGGCATTTTCGGGTTCGAAACAGCGCCTGAAGATTGTGGGAACACAGGCGCAGAACCAACACTAACGTTAGAGATGCACCGTTTACATTCTAATCCTTGTTAAGGAAGTAACTGTGACGAACGGAAATGATTCAAAGCTGCGGCCAATAAGATAGTTGGTCACTACTACTTCCATTGAATTCATACATAATGATCACCAACATACATCCATTAGAACACGAGCATCACATCTCAGAGTATTTCCTTCTCCGCGCGTGAGTGAAGTACACTCTGTAAAAACCATTCGTGCGGAAGACGAAGCAACATTAATTCAAAGATAATTTACTAAATACTGAATGAGCGATCTACTTGGATTCTTCAGCTGGCCAGTCGAGGCGATGAGTTCCTGTGATCATTGAAAACTTCTACTCAGTGTCATGCGATCGATTGTGCTAGATCCAACGAACGTGTTCCATGAAAGCAAAATGAGGTGCAGCTCTCATAATTGGACATGCGATGAGTAGTTTACATGCTATAGAATACTAACCCTACCCTCTCAACTAGCAAGCCATCGTGAATTTGGCATGCGGCTAACCACCAATTAATTGGTATCCAAAATCTAACCAAGACATAAATGAGACCATTTCCGTGCACTGTTAATGCTATCCGCCTATGCCCTACTTTGGTGCGGAAACGAATCATTAAAGGTCCAAACGATTCGGACGAAATGAGCATTCAAATGTGCGTGTCATCGGATATGGCGGTATGTGATTCAACAAGACGAACTCAAAAGCACTGTACATATCGATCGACGGACCGTTGTGCAACCATCAACCCACAATAGGCCTCATTTCAAAAGAATTGCTGGTTTTATTGCCATGGTTAGCAAAGCTCTGTAACAGTTGTTCGTGTATGTAAAGGATATAGTGGGTTAGATAACTGCACAAGCAAGCGGACGACAACAAAATCTATGTAAGCTGATAGCATTACTACCTGATGAGAGCATCGCAATAATTTCCGTTGCAAACGAACACTTTCGATAGCACATCCACAGAGGGACTGTGTAGTTGGAGAACAGGAGCAATCTGCTGTGATAGAACTGGTGCTTTGCAAAGAAAGCAAGGAACCAAAGGATGACAGATCACATTGGATTCCTTGCTCGAGTGTGCTTGACGTTTTATTCATGGATGGAGTAGGTGTCGAGCGCATGGACGGGGGGAGTTCGCTACGGTTCAGGCTAGTACGTCGTTCAGCAAATTGGTTGTTGGATGTGACGGAACAAGATGCGGAGCTCTGACTATTGGTTTCTAATAAAGCCAGAAAAGCCTCTGAGGTTATGAGAAGATGGCGGGGAGATGATCGTGAAAACTCGAAAGTCGAACGGCGAAAGCAAACACCGGCTGGAGGACAAGAATTTGAAGACGTTTCAGTTCCCACTTTGGAGTTTGATGGTGTTTTGAAGCCCATGTGTGCGAGTTTATCGTGTTTGTACAACAAATCTGCAAAAAAAGCGTATAAGATTTTACTCCGCTGATCACGATAGTCTTCCACAGGTGAACTATGGCTAGGTGCCTATCGACGAAGGATCACTGCGACGTAACCAATAGGCTAGACCAATTAGTTAGTAACACGCATAAAAAATCCAGGCCCCCAGTACGCCTCATAACCACGGACACACTGATAGTATGAATGTGTACACCATAAGTAGAGTGAACAGTCAAGGGTGTGCCGAACTACGTGAGACTCAAGGGCTCATGATAGTTCGAACCATTGGAACTGACCACGGCTTTATTGGTGTGTCCCTCCCGTCAGTGCACACTTACGAGAACAGCTGCTAACGTTTACTAATGCATCCCTCAAAGTAATACAAAGCATCGCACACAGTAATTGTCTTCTGAAAGGCTATTTCTGTTAGCAAAGTGACGACATATGACCAGGATTCAGGACAGTAACACCTTAGAAGAGGGGCCACTTTCCTGGACAGCCTACAACGGCATCTTCTGTCAACCAAGACTTAATGATAAGCCCTCTACCTCCGCGAAGAGGGGCAAAAATTTCCTTTCTTCATTGAGTCATAACTTCGGAAGATTGCTGTGCACGTGCATAATAACTAGAGGGTTGTTTAGAGAAGAATCGCGGTATCCAATCGAAATAGTGGCGATTGGCATATACGTATCGAGGTCAATAAGTCAACTGCTTATGGCACACCATCGTGATTCAGCCTCAGTATAATTAGTTCCTTTGGTATCTTTCAATATGCAGTTCATTTTTGAGCTGGCATGGTTAAGGAGTCTAGACGACAAGACAAATAGGCTCAACATGATCCATAAAAACTATGGCAAACTTACACAGATTCTCTTGAAGCAGTTCCTTCACCTTCAGCTGGGTGCTTTCCAGTTGTTTCGTCAGGCGTGCATTAACTTCCGTTAACCTAATGGAAAGTACAGGCAAAACTAAGCCCAAAGCGTATTGTAGTGCTATTTGGTACCAATAGGGGAGGCCTTTTGACGGACACAGTGGAGCCTGCAACCGCCATACATTATTAAGTCTACAGCTAGTGGAGACATGTACACTGTTGTTAAATAGTACGACGGCGAACTAGTGCTTTTCAAGGTCAACTCATTTGACCAAGTAGTAGATTAACAAATGGCGCAGTCTCATAATTCTCAGCTGCACATGGATGCTATATGTATAAGAACGGCTCGATTTATCTTCCTGTTTTGGGGTTCATGGGCGTATTAGTGGAAATAAGCCTATCCTGAGGAATACTTCGAATCAAATAAAAAAAGCCTCGTGGTCCCGAAAGGAGACTGCAAATAGTAATGTGTGTAGAATATTCATAACATGAAAACAGAAAATGGGCACACGGAGATCCAAGGCTACTCATAAACTTCAGTTAGCTGAGGCCAAGGGTTTCTTCAAGAAATTCTTATCACTAAGGCACTGCGCCATAACGAAAAATCGCAGCACAGATCAAATGTGGGTCTTACTTATAGGCATCAAAAGAGATCATTGGGTAAGTGGTCTATCTGAAGATGGTCGAAATATGAGTCTCTCGAGCATTCCGATTAATGCAGGAAAGTAGCAGTAAATCCGACTGCTAATAAACCACTGGATGAGGATGAGACGCGTGCGACGTCCATAGCCCGCGCGCGATTTCGGTGAAGCTCATATTTTGTGTTCAGTAACAGAAGCTTGGTCCATGAGTCATTGTAGCGACAGAACCACACAACACGTACAGGACTACAGCGATCTCATCTGCCGATTGGTAAAATACACCAATCCGATTAGCACAATTAAGTTTTTCAGATCAAGGTACCGTGCTCGACGTGCTTGAATGTTCAAATCGTTCACTTTTAGTTCCGTCCTTCTAGCAGATTTCTCAACGCTGCTCATGTTTGTACTACGTTCTGCCACTGCGATCCTTCAGAAGTACATACGTCGTCCTCTAAGAACACCACCCCTCAGAGGAGACCACATTTGCTTGTCCCTTGAAGAGTTCGTTTGGATTTCAGCTCCAACTGCGGGACGACGGGACCAACAGTTAGTCAGATCTCCTTGTCTGGTGGGTGTTTCGGTATTCCCAAGGTTTGCGGCATCAAGTTCTCAGAACTGGTCACCAAAGGTGCAAACATAACTACCGTGTTACAAAATCACATGGGTGCATTGTGTACTCAGGCGGCAGACAAGTCCGTTCGCTGACTGTCCACGATATCCTGTATTTTCAGATCTGTCTAGGATTACTACACACCTTGCAACAAATATTAGTCGTTTTTAAAGGCTGCATACAAGCTTAGGTCCAATTGTAGCACAACAGCATAAGTCGGCAAATGACATGTCAAAACAACTGCTGGACCTTAAAAATGATTCCGACAATATCTCACAAGAGGTGGGTTACGTGATAATAATAGAGCACTTACATGTGCATGGTTTCACGATGTAGAAGGCAATGTCGTCGATGACCTAGTTAGTTCTCTTAAGCACAGAGTTCAGGAAAACCAGTAACCTCTGAAAACCCATCATTAACCGGAGAACAGAAATGGCTTCAGGAAAGGCGTAAGGGATTAGATACAGGAAGTGCCAGTGTTGAATACAACAAATAATTGTTAGCTGACCTACCAATGATTTATCTTTCTGTTGTATTCAACCAATACAATTTACTGAACAAAACCATCTCGCAGCGCACGCATGCTATTTGTTCAAGTGAGAAGGACTAGGGGTATTCCCAAACGAATACTCCTCACCAATCAGGAGATCCCTCGACCACATACGGGCGAACACTTAGACAATTCGACTAACTAGCCATAGTGGATCTGACAAGTTGATACAGTGAAGACGTGATTAGATTTCAAGCACAGCCATGAGCAGCTGCGTGCTTGGACGATCCGATTAAGGTCAATCTGGTAAATCCATATAACGAAGAACAGCATGCTGTGAATGAGCTTACGGAGTCCGAATGCATCTTTACTATAAGGGCCTGTAACATTTAGTACGCGTTTTCGAGATTTCAAGTTTGATTCACTCTACTTTTTCACCGGTAATCAAAAATAAATGACAGCGCTCCAGTGAAACCCACAGTATCAAAACCAGGGAAATGATTAAGCATTTCAGAGACAGGAAATAGGGCTTGGAACTTTCAGGTGATATACAGTAATAAACATAGCCTACTGTGGAGAATAGAATATCACCGACAAATGCAGAAGCGACCTTTTAAACAAAATATTTCTTGATTTCGCTGGTTCTTTCTCAGAGGAGCCATCTTTCAGAAGAGACGGTCAGTCGGTCCCTTAAAGTGATTTGTTCGGAAGCTGACCTTCAACTAATATAAGTTTTTTTAGCTGAAGCACTTGATCCAGTTAGTTTAGGTGGTTCAAGATGTTCTCGAAGCATATAACACTGCTGTTTTATAAACAAAAGTTGAAAGGGCACAAGACCGTCCGCAGCTGAAATAACCTAATGTTACATTTTTACCTAGAATTGGTAATATCTGTAGTTGTGACCGGCCGTATCCCTCGTGCGATGGTGATATTCACAAGCTAGATCACAGAATCGAAACCAGAATTCGACTGAAGTGAGCGAGTCGATGAATCCTGCGACTAATATCCCAAAACTAAGAGTATAATTAGTTAGTCCTTTGTTTGGATGAGAGGTTTCAGTTTTAACGTAATCCATCATAAAAAAACTTTGTGTACTCTTACGGTGCCCTTGCCTATAGTTTCGACTGCATAAAAATGCAACCACTGCATAACTGTGAGGGATGTTTGGCAAAAAACGCACTAAGCAAGACCAGGTCCCATTTTCACAGTTTGTGCGCAGCGAGTTCTTGAGAAATCAGCAGCCGGTCACGTCATCGACCGCACTTTATATGTATGCAAGTATGCGAAACTGGTGCAAGGTAAACTAACCGACTAGACTAATTTAATCTGAACAAAACACTGCGCCGCACAAATGGATCGCAGAGTCGGCAGTCTGAATGTATTTTATTAACGGGACTGTACCACACCAAGTGATTCATGTGTTGGGGAAGTGAAAAGCCGATGTAATTTGAAAGACTTTCACGGGTTTGTGCATGCGCTTTGACGGGGTTAGTGGATCGCACATTCAACAAAACAAAACGGCGAAGGATTTTCGCAAACTAAGTTGATTTTCAGTAGCCCTATGAGTAGTGTTCCGTCAATTCAAAGACTTGATTGCCGCACACACAAAGATATGGTAACTATCCCAATGAGCCTATTTCAATCAGCTTTGATTAGCCGGAACAACATAGCTCTGTTCTTAAAAGTTCATCAATGAAGCTTGAGAATGAAAAACAAAAGCATGGTACGAGCTATTGCAGTCAAGTTGAACAAAATGGAAGAACGCAATTGCAGGTTCCATGAAGATGCGCGTCCTTCATGATACAAACGTATGGGCCATTGTTGTACAAAAAGCTCAACCACAAGTTAATGGAAGTTCAGTGATGCCCTTGTGACACCCGGAGTGCATCAGGCTAGGTTGAAAAATTGATAAGGCTGGTCAACACGCTTTTGGCTATCCAACATGGTAGTTAGAACTTAGGTGACGGTTCGCTTAACGACTTGTTCATCGCAGACCTTCAGTCAAACTATTTGTATGGGGAAGCCATTCATTCATGTCTAATTTTCAGCATCATAGTTAGAGTCCTGCTCTCGGAACCAAAAACAACTTCACGCACAGCTTCAGTAACTCAGGTCATCTCCGTCGTCCATATGGGTTGTCACGTAAATGGTCACAGCTAGCTGCTGTAAATCTGAGTAAAGATTGTGGGACTCGGTCGGGTATTTGATTTAATGATTTACTGTTCCGAACAGCTTATTGAGCAGAGACGCCATAAATCAGATCAAAGTACGACGACAGTATACAAGCGGACAGACAAGGCGGACATTTTGAGATGATTGCCGGGAACATTAGTCTTCGCGAGTTTTGGTTCATCATCATCATTGTCAGCTGTAAGAACCGCGTACTGGTCGTACACTGGTTGTAGCTGCCACAGTTTCGTTCACCGATGATTGGGGGGTAAGTAGCTGTGCATTGCACGCACGAGCTGGTAAATTGGTGCATAAGTCTAGCACTGTCAGTGGGTTGTCAAGCGGGGGGGTGGAAGAGGAGCTATGCATTGAAAGCAATAGCTTTGATGCATGGGCGCCATTGAGGGCGCGACTGGGCCATGTCTGATAATGTCTCTAGCCATTGATGTGGCCCGTCTCGGGGTCCCCATTCAGGAAGACGGCAGTGACCAGCGCAGCTGAGTTTGCTGGTAATGGCTTTCATACTT